TCAATTACTAACATATTTGTAAATAAATAGTGACGTTACTGGATAACAGAGGGCACTTATTACAATAATTTTTCTTTCTCTTAGAACAATCTGCTAGAAATAATAAAATTTAAAGATTATTTGGTAAATATACATTACACTTAGGATGATAAACCGAAATCATGTTCATTTTTTTCTCCATTTTTTTAATTTATGAAACGAATGCGTCTTGACCTTTCGGTGATGTCACTTAGACTAAATGACAAAAATCGGAGATATATCCTATGGGACAAAAGTTACAGACGACAATTTTGTTGCTGATGTCCGGTCTATTACTACTACATACTTAAATGTCTTTGATTCATTACAATATCGTCCCATTTCAAAATTATTTTTTTCGCCTATTATCGGTGTTTTGGGTTGATTGCACAGAGTATATAATTCACTATGGTTTATTGATACAGACTAGCCATTACTATTAAGTCCGCCATTTGTTTACTTTTTATGGAGGGATTAAAGGGCGCAATAAAGATTTAACTATCTCTATTTTAAGCTGGTTTTCTGTGAGGGCGTGGTGCTTCCCCGGTCGAGTCGACTCATTCGTGCTACTACCACAATAAAGCTGCAGCGTAACTCTACCATGATAAGCCGTGTGCCGTTGATCGGAGAATCAATTACTTCGGGAACGCGATAGTGACTTTCTTTCGTGAAACGACTACGAGCAATCCACCTACACATTAGCGATTATTAAGGTCCTCTCCAATTGATCTAGAGATTTCTGAACACGTTATTGTTGGTTGCTGTGTGTGTGTGGAAGAATTTATTAATTTCTCATCCTAATTGGCATTTTTACTCACCCCACAAAGTCCTGGTAGTTTAGAAGCATAGCGCTCGCTGTAAATTTCACAGTACGCGAAGCAACCAGTATTCAATTTTATACGTGGTAGAACCATGCTGCAGTTATATTAGTAGTATAGTTATAGCACGAATGGGTCGGTTCGACCGGGGAAGGACCACGCTCTTTCAGAATACCAGCATAAAATAATAGCTTAATGTTACTGTGTTTCGTATGGTGAGTGTAGAGAACCGGAGACTCTTTTTACTGGAAGCGAGGCATTCCATTTTAGTCCTCAGGGGTGACAACGCATCTGCATGTTGATTTGTAATTGAGGATAGATGTAGATATCTATGAGCCACAGCAATCACTTACCATCAGTTGAACTTTGTGCTCGTTTGTCACCCTATGCTATTAAAAAAATCGATTTCCACTGGCACCAATGAAATTGAAATTGCTAATTTACCACGTACTCGGCGGTTAAGGAAAACACCGTGAGGAAACTGGCAAGTACGAGATAAAAAAATATTTCGAAGACGTGAAGTTCGCCAACATGGATTTGGGCAGCGCGGCGGGCAGTTCCCTGTCCTATAATCCTCACAGAAATTAGGGAAGGCCTGTGGACGTATATAGTAACTTTATTTCTACTCACCTCACACGTAACATGGTTGCGTTTAGCAGAAAAAAACCCTAGGAAGCGCTTGTAAGCACAATGGCGAAACTAAACAGTTTTCGGCCAGGACACGTTTGCTAACTTCAGTAGCGCTGACACAATCCGCCATTTTGCTTATTTAATTTGTTTGTTTTGAAGTAGAGTTTATAAGTTGTTTTGTGCAATATTAGTTTTAAGTAATATAATGACATGAATAAACATATTATACATGTTATTAAAAATCATGATTGGTAAGTTTTTAATATGAATACTTTACAAACATATATTTATATTAGGTTAGGTTCGCCGGTTAATACTAACTTCGTGTCCTAGAGGAAAATAGCTACTTACGATTTGACAGCGCTTACCGCTTACGATCGCCATTTTGCATACTAGCGCTTCCTAGCGCTTTTTTCTGCCAAACGCAGCCAATATATTAGCCCTAACAATGTTAGGGTATCTACTCAAAGACAGGTTTAATACTGGAGGGAGTAGAAGTAAATAAAACAAAACTATCAGCGTTTATAATAAAATTTAATTTTAAAAAAATTGGGCGAACATGATGTGTGTCAAACTAAAGGTAATAACATAATAATAAAAATCAATATTTTGGCACGTCACGTAATTTAATATTTACACAAGTATTTACATTTTTACATTAAACCTATTAGTACATTTTTAAAGTTAGTTACATACATATAAAAAACACAAGAATACAAACTTAAGGTAGGAACAGACGTAGCGAAGCGACACTATACATTTTATTTGCGTAATTTAAAATTATTATATCTTGTTATTAAATAATATTGAAACAATTCCAAAATTATATCACTGATTTCTAGCACAGCGACTATTATGGGTAACTTCCAGTTAACTTTGTTACATTTATAATATCGCAAAAGTCATTTTCCAATTCCATAGTCAAAGGACGATATGAAATGATGGATACCCTTACAAAACCACCACACAAAGCATACATTAAAACTAAATATTGCTTTTTATACGCCTAGGTATATTGAATTAACTAAAAATAATCACAATACATCAAATATCTACATCACATAACTTTTGACTTTTTATTAACACCACTGACATACAATATTATAGCTAGTACGTGCTGATATAATGCAATAGAATAAACTTATATAACAAAATATAAATACATCACTTGTAGGTAAGATATTATACGACATTTAGAAGGCAGAAAAATACTGTTATAACCGTCTTAAGGTGATAAGGGCGCCAAAAGCAGATTTTTCACGCTTTATAGGTGCCCAGAAAAACAATTTTTGTCATTAAAAACTACGAATCCACATTTTTTAATAAGAAAATTCATTATGAAAGTTAAAGATTTTTCTTAGTGAATTGTTGGCCAAAACAGATTAACACATTTTGGCTCGATAGAAAAAGATAGCAGTTTCCTCAAAATCTACAATTTTAGGTACGTCCACTAAGTGAAAAAGCTGTTTCATTCGAATTAATGAAATCAATTTCAATTAAAATCAGGCCATGTGTTCACCAGTAAATACGTGAGTGAATTATGGGTTTATTTTTAAATAAAAGAGTATATATAATTTTAAAAAGAAATATCAAATAAATATTGTGCGATTAATTAAATAGATTAAATAGATTAATAGCGTGAAAAATCCGCTTTTGGCGCCCACTTCACCTTGGCAATCAGAGAAAATCTTAAGTTCAAAGTCAAAATTCAATTTTATATTATAATATTACACAAATTTTGACAATGTGGATTTTCAAGTTTAAAATCGAGATTATCTATCAATACCAGCCTAGACCTAGACCAACCAATTATAAGTGGGTTCAAAATATCCGCCTTGTTTCTGATTTTTATACATTTCAAAAACATCGTTTTCTTTAAAGTTTCCTCAATTCAATGAATATAAAAATAAATTATAAACTAGGTACTACAAATCTTAACAAACAGATCAAAACTTTGTTTCAATCGAATCGATAGATTTTGGGAAGGTTCTCAAAGTTCATTTCACTTTGAGAACCACAAACCAATGCCTACTGTGTTTTTAGATATATGAACTTTCTCATAAAGTTCGATTCCTATCCAGAAATTATTGAGATGCATAATATATACCTATAGGTATATGTTATGCATCTCAAAAATTTAACAATAAACATAACAATTTATTAAAGGAAGCAAAACTTCTAATGATATTTTGTATTGGGTTATTCATGAAATCTTCTCTAGAACCAATAGTCAAAATACATTGCCCGTTCTTTGACCTTGACATTGGCAGAGAATTATCGGTTAAACGATGGAGCCTTTTTTTCTTAAATGTCAGTTATATACGTCCTACTCCTGAGCACAGGCCTCCTCTCATTATTTTCAATTATATTTTATTTAATAGGATAAGGGTGACAACGAACGCACAGTCCATCTGATTGTAAGTGGATGCTGTGTCCCATAGACATATACATCCTCGATTGAGAATCAGAATGTAAACATTGTCACCCCTGAGGACTAAGATGGAACGCCTCGCTCTAGTGAAAATTGCAATATTAACAATTTCATTAGTGACGACTAGGATCGAACCCGGGCTGCTCGCGTACTGTGAAAGTTACAGCGAGCGATTAGCCCCTGAGCTACCGTGGCTCTAAGAAGCTTTCCGGCTTTTTCTTGAAATTAGAAGAAAATAAAATATTTGATCAACAAGCCTTTGTAAGGTAGATCAATACAAACACGGCAACACTAATGCCCTATTCCTATATTCAAAAAACACTTCATTCTCCGTAACGATCCGTTTTATCACATCGCCGTCCGTCCCCGGCGAATAAGATGGTAATGTGCTATTACGATAGTTTTAAGTTAATTGCATATTCGATATTTATAGATCCGATTACACTTGGTCAATTTTTTTAGACATTTCCTATGGTTATTGTAGAAATTACGAGATTTCCATGTGTATTGTAATAAATTTAACAATATTATTTATTTGTATGCTTAGTAGACAACGAATAAAATTGTTAGAGACTATTACAATTCTTTTGATACATTTCCAGTGAGAACCATTATATTCTCTTACCATTACGAGGATATTCGCGGGAAAATGGTCGATTTAATTTGCGTAAAGCATAATACAATTTTATTCTGTAACATACAATTTTATTTTCAAACGAATTGTCCTCTTCTGATCAGGAAAATCTACAAATAGTGAATGTGCCTAATAATAAACAATTTGAACCTTGTGTAACACCAAATCAAAACAAATTAAGTAGAAAACGAAAGATAAAAAGAAAGCTATGAAAATTTCTGGAAAATCTGACGAAGGGGGTCGTACTAAAAAAAAATTGATGCAAAGAAAATAGGACCAGCGTGCAAGTGTAACACAAAAAGCGCAGAAAAATTTACCATGGAACAAAGAGAAAGTATATTTCAGAGCTTTTATCAACTCGGGAATCGTGAACATCAATGGTAATACATTGTTCGAGGTCGTGATCCCTGATATTCAAGTTAACTTGGTCCGACTGATTCAAGAGGCATATGACTCGACAATCGAAAAAATGGATCCTCACGGATTAAGTTTACGAGTCAAGTTCAAGTCTAGTGGAGACCACCTTCCAGGGAACGAAACTGCCAATGATGGTTCCCCCCAACCTGAGAAACAGACAGAGACCCAATCAAGGGGACCAAGGCCAGACACACCTCCACCGAGTGACAAGGCCTCTACCTCTCAAGTGATTGAAGAAGCAATTTCGCGCTTAGCAAAGGGAGTCCCTTTGGTTGGCAAGTACGACACCAGTAAGAAGACCACACTGGAGTTGGGTAAATGGGGATTGAGTAAAGAGTTAATTTATAAGATTGTAGCAGCTAATCCACATCATCACATCAGATATTGCTGCTCGCCTGTAAGACCTCCGGGGCATACAATAGGCTAGCATCACAATACAAACTGCCATTCATACCATTCATACAGATGTTAAACCTACAAAGTGAATAACTTTAGATAGAAAAAACAATAGAACACAAACCATAAAATACTCATTTCCTTCAGGCGGCTTAAATGTTAACGTAACGTATAACATAGCATTAGAAAAAATAAAAAGAGACGAAAGTTTAATCGACAAAAGGGGAACTCATAAAAACAGACTCCATAAGATGAGTGATTCTACGAAAGAAATCGTGACGACGCATATTCAAATATTTCCTGCTGTAGAATCCCACTATGTCAGGAAAGATACTAAGCGACTTTATTTATCAGAGCACCTAAATATTTCTAAAATGTACCGATTGTATGGACTCTGGTTCCCCAATAAACATTATTCTGCAGAACACAAGGCTACAAAGCGGCAATATGAATATACTTTTAACACGGAGTTTAATTACTCCTTTTTCAAACCAAAGAAAGATTTATGCGGAATCTGTCCCTCTCCCAATATGACCATGCTAATGAAATAATCAAAATTAGTCTAGTGGCTAAGTATAGGGAACATTTGATGAGAAAGAATAAAGTGCGCCAGTTAAAAGAAGATGAAAAAGCTGCAGTGGATAAAAGAAGTACAACTATTACCATTTTTGATCTAGAAAAGGCCCTCAGTATCCCTCAGTCTGAAGTGGGGGTTTTTCACTACATGAGAAAATACCCCGTTTATAATTTTACTGTCTACGACTCACTGCGAAAATTTGGTCATTGCTTTGTCAAAAGAGGATCGATTGAAATCAAAGGTATCAAAAATTTATCTTTTTATTCCGATGGCTGCGATGGTCAGAACAAAAACAGGTATATTTTTGCATTATACCTTTACGCCATAAGAGCTTATGACCTAGAAAATATAACCCACCGATGTTTTGAGACTGGCCACGGCCAGAACAAAGGCGACAGCATGCATTCATGCATAGAAAGGGCCATGAAAAATAAGGTATTGTATACTCCTGACCAAGTTTACAGCATCATCATGAATACAAAAGTGACTGGAAATAAATATAAGGTGCATGAGATGAAGCAATGTGACTTTTACAACACAAAAAGCCTTATTTCTGGAAAACAAAACTGGCTAAAAGACACTAAAGGAAACAAAATTAAATGGGCAAAAATAATGAAAGTGAAGGTATCACGTTTTAAACCTCATATTCTACAATTCAAGTATAACTTCGAAGAAGAGTATTTGGAACTAGGCACGGAGATACTATTGACTAGACCCAGGCGAGGGCGAAAAGCGACAGCCTCCATTGCAGCAGAAGCTGAATCTATCGATTTACATTTGAAACAAGCTTATGATCAGCAAATACTTATAAGTAAAGCGCTACATGTAGATTTATTAAGTTTGTGTACTAGTAATGCCATCCCACAGCAGTACCATGCATTTTATGACTCTCTCACGAGCTGCGAAGGTAACCCGAGCGAACATTCAGACTCTGAACTCTCTGAACATTTAGACGACAAGGAGTATACCTACCCAGCGTAACTGCTTCTTATAAAAAAAGAATTAAGTACACTGTAGACAGTACAGTAGTAAACAGTTCCTTGATTTTTATAAACAGTTGTTAATAATTATGAAGAAATAAAAAATAAATGGACAGTCTCTTGTTTCTTTTTTCTACGCACATTACCTTGCACACGTACAAAATATTTATTCAGTATGTGATACTTGCCTCCAGTTAGTTTAATAAATTTTCCATGGATTACACACGTAAGTTGCTATTACTGTAATCTGTAATTGATTGCTTGTCAGCGAATAAAATGGTAATAGTACATTACGATATGGGATCCTATCACAATTAATCGACCAATAACACAGCAATGAATTATTACGGTAACATATTACATGAGATTTTACGAGAATATTATCGTAATGTTGCTTTACAGTAAAAGTTTGTGCTTTTAATTAATGATAAATTTAATTTCCTTAATTACTGCATTTCTAAGAAAGATAGATTATTTGATATAGCTTACAATTATTTTGTAAAAAATTACCTTTCTTTTGGTCTTCGAACTATCCCGCTATGTATACATATTAGTTTATGAGATATTCACAAAAAACCTGTTTTTTATTTTTCCTGTAAAATTTAGTTTTAACGATTACCATTTTATTCGCCGGGGACGGCGATATATGAGCTGCAAGTAAAACAGTTTATATTATTACAAACAATTCATTCAGCATCTTAGGATGACTTAAAATGAAAACTGTTCATAAATATTAAACTGGTATTTTAATTTAAAAGGGTTTTCATGCACTACATACAATGCGAAACGGCTCGTAAAAGAAAACGAAGCGTTTTTAAATACAGAAACCCGGCACGAATGTTTTACTCATTACTTCAAATGTACCGCTTCAAGCCAATCTTTAAGATGCTTCAAGATCCAACACCTCATTTGAAGTGGGACATTGTACTAACTCAGTTCAAAAATGAGGGTACTCTAGGAACTGTTTTCAAGATGGCGTCCTACTCAAAACTATAATATATAATTCTTATGAGAGTAAACAGCTGGTAACATTCGAGAAATGACTAAGATAATATTTCTGTCGATTTCGAGAACTACAACTTAGTAAGCTAGCTAGATTCGTTTATATTAGTTATTTCCATGGTATAATGTGAGGAATCTTGCTACTTTGTTTTGCATAAGAGGTCCATAAGAGTAATTTATAACCTAACTAGCGATATGCCCCGGCTTCGCACGTCGGATATCAGGATTCTACAACAGCGCCACCTACTGGGTCCAACTACACCTATAATCTTCGTGGAAGTGCAAGCAATATATTGACAAAGTTTTACCGCAATCTGATGAATGATGTGGCAGCCCATAAAATATGAACAAACAAAATATTATTTTTTATATATTAGATTCCTAGTCGGAATAAATTTAAAGAAATAAATATGCATATTAACTTTGGCCTCTCAGTATATTTACCAAAATTTAATATATGTACACTAAAACAAAAATATAGTTTTATTAAAAATAGTGATGTACATTCTGTAAGTACAAGGAACAAGCACAAGTTAGTTATACCAGTTACTCGACCCCAAAAGCAGTGGCGAAGCCTCCATAGAAGCCCAGAAGCCGGGCTTGCTCTATAAAAATGCTCAATCAATAATATCAATATCAACTAATAAAATAACTCTTAAACTGTTCAAACTATTTCAAAGGGCATGACCTCGTAGCATATAATATGTAACGTCAACACTTGGCAGTTTGCTTTCAATTCGAAATACACTGGACTGTCAAAATTAATGAACGCAAGGAGTTGATTGTTGTATCTCTCGCACGCGTTGGCTTTTTACCGGGCTTTAGAGAAGACAATCGCCCCCTTTCTAACCTGTCGCAAAGTGTTCTATAATGAAATATAACTACGAAATGTTTATATAGCAATTACTATGGAACCAAAAGCCGTGCTTTGCTCTGAAGTTGTTAGGGACTGCGTTAGCGAGAGGGGGTATGGTAATACGTTTTTTGCAAGTTCACTTCACATTTCAATGTTTATGTTTATTTTTGTTGTCTGTTAAAAATTTATGCATTTTCAAAGATTTTTAGTGAAAATGGGAGGATAATAGTGTTCCTTGTGATGAATATGTGTGTTAAAGTGCTAATCGGCGAGAAAAAGGTAAAATCTTTAAAAATGAAATTTTAATTCAATAAACATTTCTTCATACTTTAATAGGTACAGGACACTTTGGTATTAAAGTTTAATTATTCTAGGCGTATTTAAAGGTTTAATAACTCAATACTTATAATATTACCATATGAGTTAAAAATATCATTTTTAACTTCAGAATAAAATATGAGATACTTAGGTATAATTTTAATTTTATAGCAAGTAATTGTTACAATCCTTTTTTTAATGTGAAGCCCAAATTTTAATGTAATAAATTAAATGAATAGATGTATTGAGATTTTAAAAGAATATTTACTTTAGTTCTTAAAGCTTTATCTTCTCAGTTCAGTATATAAAATTTTAATAGCGCCATCTACTTAATTCTGTAGGTGAAGTCATTTTATCGAACGAAAACACGGGTAACGCTAGCAAAGGGCAACCGAGTTAAAAATATCACGGAAAAAAAAAAAAGCTTATTTATAAATAAAACGTGAACAAGGCGTCCCTTTTTTACCGAGAAAAACCGAAACCAGAATTTTACCAGAAGTAAAAGCATAAATGACTTTCAATAAGTATTCTTATAACCCATCTAGTATACATAAAATAAATATTTCTTTGTTCGTATTTTATGCGCTGCCATATCTTTAATCAGATTACGGTAAAACTTAGTCAACTTATTGCTTGCACTTGCGCAAGGTCATAGCCATAGTATAATCGACGGCTCCGTGGCGCAGTGGCTTAGCAATGAGTGGCTGCGCCGGGGGGCGCGGGTTCGAATCCCGCACGGAACAAGTATTTGTATGGCCTACAAATAATTGTTCCGGGTCTGGATGTCCTTGTGCAATTTATGTTTGTAAACTGCATCCACGATACAGGAGAAAATCCTAGTGTTGAGGTAATGTTTTTAAAAAAAATCTATGGGGGAGGTATATGTTGTTTTTATAGGCTGCCATGGATGGATGATCGGTGGAAGTTTGTCGCTTAGAGCGCGTATGTCACTGATATCTAGAGTATTCATATGTGCGGACCGTCAAATACCTAGGGACTCTTGTAGCTTTTATGGATAATAAACATTTTATTTTTCAAATTCTAGCAATGCTACAACCCTATCAGAAATGAGAGGAGACCTGTGCCCAGCAGTGGGACGTATATAGGTTGAAACTTTTTTAGCTGCAAATGCTTATTAGGAGTGGTTCACGACATTAGTCGAATAGCAGATTCGAACCCGTAACCTTATGAGTTCGCGGTCTGCACCCTGCCTAACTATGCACTTTCGCTTAATTTGTTATATCAGAAACTATATTCAACTACAAGGCCAGGCTTTCACAGAATACCAGCTTTAAGCGCCTGTGTTTCCGTAACGCCATTCGGCGTGTAACGTTTAAAAAAAATTAACACACACGATGGCGCGCGTATCGTGCCGAAAATTGATTTGAAAGTTATATATCATTCAATTTCAAAGAATGTATTATCGTTCCTAATTAAACAATATAACTCTTCCAAATTTAAAATGATATTTCCACAAATATTTATCATCAATTATCATCGGCAGCAACGCGCCGGATACCAGCCAGTATTGAATAAAAAAATTTGTACTGTATTCTATTCTCTCGGAAGTTGTCAACTGCGCATTATATACTCTAGTGTCAAAAAGTACACGCTACAAATTACAAAAGCACTCACACATTCTAAAGTTCCCTTGTCCAATGTAATATAATTAATCAAAAGCAGACTTTAGTATAGTTTTAGTCCATGACTACATGACTTTAGTATAGGTTTAGTACATGAGGACAATCAACACAGTTAGAAACTTAAAAAAAATAAAATAAGTGTTTTTGGTTGCACATATTTCAGCACTAAATTTGACCGGCACAAAGTTCAAAACCTTTGTTAAACTAAGTTTGTATAAAAAGCGTTATTATAATATTAAATAATTTATGCATGATAACAACCCCTGGGAAGGGAGATTGCTACCAAGCTATTTCTAACTTGTTGTGTTGTTAATTGTAACACACATGATTGTAAGCTGTTATTTAAAAAAAGTCCCATTGGATTTCCTGCTGGTTCTTCTAAGGACAGAGTTTTTTTTTCCGAACTAGTGGTAAATTAAAAAGAAATTGACTTTCAATAAGTATTATTTAAAATCTATCATCATCATCATCATTACAGCCCTTCACAAGTCCACTGCTGAACATAGGCCTCCCCCAAGGTATGTCACAAAGCACGGACCTGAGCCACCTGCATCCATCGACTTCCTGCATGTCTTACCAGGTCGTCACTCCATCTAGTGGGGGGTCGCCCTACAATCTATATTGAATAAAAAAGTTTCTGTTTTAAAATCAAACCCAGGTACTGTACAGTACCGCACTGATCATTAAACTAAACAAATGAGATAAATATAACAATTTATTACTAAACTAATTCTTATTTAGAAATATTGTAGATTTATTAGTTATTATTCCATCATTTAACAATCCATTCAAGCATTATTTAAAGTAAATAAGCCATACAAACCAATTATAATAATAAAACACTTAAAAAGGCGCAATATTGCTTTGCATTAAATATGAACCATGAACCCGTGATGCGATATGAAATATGGAAAATATTTAAATGATATACACTCTAAATGAAGTCACAATAACATTACAATCGTATAAGCTCACGCGGGGATCGAACCTACAACCTAAGGTTCTTTAATCAGGCACTTTCACCACCGACCAATCTGACCGGCGAAACATAAAAAAATATTTTTTGATATTTTTTTCTTATCTTTATTTATATAAAATGCCACAGATAATCTATTTGTTAAATCTATGTTTATTTTAATCTCTTTTTTTTTTGGTTTTTTTCCAAAAATTTTCATTTTTCTT